ACCAAACTCCTGTGCCCCAACCCCGAGCTTCCTGTGGTCTTTGCCACCTCTGTAAAAAGCGTCCTTCAGTTCGGAGGCATATTAGAGTCCTCTTTCTTTCACAGATCCTGTCTACCCTCGAACCTTCAGAAGAGATCTCGAAACCAGCTACTTCTCACCACCTGTGCTGCTCCAGCCCCCCACCCAGTATCCTCCGGTTCATTGCAGTAGCCTCGTAACTGGTGTTTTCTCTCATGTCCCCCAGTTACTTGTAGTGGCATTAAATTTGCTTTTTTTTAAAGCATTTATTTGTGAGCTTTTCTCCACGTAGCAAGCAGCTAAGTGTGGGCCTTTAAAATGGTAACTTGAACCACGTCATTCCTGCTTTCCATCTCCCTGAGAGTTCATGCCCAAGTCTCAGCAGTGGCTTGGAGGCCCTCTGTTACATGTGCCAGCGGCCCGTCTGACCTCCCTTCTGCCCCTGCCCCACTCACCCCACCACAGCCACACTAGGCACCATGCTGGTCCTCTGCACACCCGCTGCTTTTCTCCCCCAGCTTTGTGCTTGCCCTTTGCTGGTGCATGCTCCCCATTGCTGCCTGGCATCCCCCCCCCAACCTTGCACCACCTGAAGCACTCCCTGCCACTTACAGACTGCTTTATTTTCTCCAAGGTGCTGGCGTGGATGTGTTAACTTGTTATTTCCTAGAGATTTCTTCATTAGAATATAAGCACATATGAGGGCAGAAACCTGTTTTTGTTTTTTGCTGTATCCTCAGGGCCTGGAACAGGAATATAGTAGATGTCTAATAATTTTCCTGATATTTTTACACACCCTTGAACCCCCCCGTGCAGTCAAAATTCTACAAACAACTTTGGACTCCTTAGAAACTTAACTATTAGCCTACTGTTGACCAGAAGCCTTTGAGACAAAATAAATGGTTAACACAAATTTTGTATGTTACATGTATTATACACTGTATTCTTACAATAATGTAAAGCTACAGAAGATGTTATTAAGAAAATCATAAGGAAGAGAAAATACATCTATAGTGCTGTACTGTATTAAAAAAATTTCGGAGCACCTGGATGGCTCAGCCGTTAAGCATCTGCCTCAGGCTCAGGTCATGATCCCGGGGTCCTGGGATCGAGCCCCGCATCGGGCTCCCTGCTCGGCCGGAAGCCTGCTTCTCTCTCTCCCACTCCGCCTGCTTGTGTTCCCTCTCTCGCTGTCTCTCTCTCTGTCAAATAAACAAATAAGATCTTAAAGAAAAAAAAAATTTTTTTTTTTTCTACAAAGAAGTGGACGCTCACCGTTCAAACCCGTGTTGTTCAAGGGTCAACTGTATTGGGAAATCCTAACAGAGAAAGATTTGTAGTTGTTACGCCATTTAAGGAGTGGCCAGTACTCCTTTCTTAAAATTTTTTCCTTCCAATTTTGGGATAAATTGCAGGTGATTTTTACTTCTAAATATAGTTAGTGGCGAGTTAGCTCAGACACTGTCAGCCAAGCCAAGACCATGGTGGTGTTTCTGTGTGAGCCATCTGTGTCCCAGTCCAGAGAGACGGCACCTTGCTTCTGTTGGGAGTGGGACCTCCGTGGGAGCTGTGAAACCTTTAGGCTTTGCTAGCCACCCAGTGTCCTCAACTTCTGTTTCTCCACAGTCTACTGCAGTATCAGCTGTGTTAGCCTTTGCAATTCCATCTCCACCTTTAATATGTAAGTACTCTTTCAGCTTGTGGTCTTACAGGAAAACCATGCCAACAAGAACAGATTCCACACTCAGGAGGGCAGAACAATCAATGACCAGAGAATTAGTAGAGTGTATATTCATTTTGAGCTAGAAATTTATTATTTTTTTAAGATTTTATTTGTTTGAGAGAGCGAGTACGAGCAGGAGGAGGGGCAGAGAGAGAGGGAGAAGCAGGCTCCCCGCTGAGCAGGGAGCCCGACGCGGGGCTCCATCCCAAGACCCCAGGATCATGACCCGAGCCGAAGGCAGACCGTTAACCGCCTGAGCCACCCAGGCGCCCCTTGAGCTAGAAATTCATAAGTAGCTCCCAAATTTCTGATGGTTTCACTAGAACTGGTTTTACAAAATAATTCATTTGTGAACATAAGTAAAGTTTTTTGTCTCGATGACAACCGTTGTTATCTGGACAAGTGGAGAGTATTGGAGCCTCCGTTAGAATATATCCAGACATGTGCAGTGTATTCATACTAGTGAAATTCAGCTTTCACTTTCTCTTATTGACAGAGTGATACCTTAGTACTTAAGTTCAAACAAAATAGTATCAGTTGACTGCAGTATAAATGAGACTAAAGGTTATGAGTTTGCTCCAGTTTGGATCGATCATTAATCTTCAATTTAGTTGAAATTATGTATAAGTTAGAGTGGATCTCAGTCTCTGTTCCATGAACTGAGCTGAAGTGTGCTACTCACATGATTTATTGGTGAACTTTCCTAATTCTCAGGGAAAAAACTGGGTCAATAGGTATAATATCCTCAGATTAAAATTTTGGCATCTGTTCTTTGCCCCAACAAATGATCAAGTGAATGAGTAAGTAACTGAGAACAATAGTCCTCACACTGGAGTTTACTTCAGAACCATGTGGGGGGCTTTACTAAGGACAAGTTGCTGGGCTTCATCCTGGGTTTTCTGCTTTTTATCTCTTGAGTGAGAATCGGGGTTGGGATTCAGGATTCTCTGTGGAGAGATAACTTGCTATTTCTTTTCTCTCTTAATTCTCTCTTAATTGCTCTTTTCTGTTCCATGTGGTTCTATTTTATGTCTCACCGTTGAAGGGTATTAGGACTCCTGAGTCCTGAAAACACATTCTTCAGTCATGCTCCATAAACTGTGTGTTCTAGGAGGGCATTCTTGAGATGGACTTCCTAAAGGACCAAAAGCACTTTACCTTCTCCTTCTTGTTCTTTTCCTCTGAAGGTGCAGAACTAGGGCGTGAAGCAGAAGGCAGAAGGGCAGGTGGTAGGGGGGTTGCTGTCCATAGTGGCCGTGATTCCTGCCATGTCTTTGCGCGGGCGGGGGCTTCACTCACTGCCTTTAACAGCAGAGGCACCTTGAGAAAGAAGAGGACTTGAAGAGATCAGGTTATATCTTTAGTATTTTACAGTTTAAAACAATACAGAAAGTAGTTGCGGGGCGCCTGGGTGGCTTAGCCGGTTAAGCGTCTACTCTTGGTTTTGGCTCAGGTCATGATCTCAGGATCGTGGGAATGAGCCCCGCGTTGGGCTCTGCGCTCAGCAGGGAGTCTGCTTTGGAACCTCTCTCTCCCTTTGTCCTTCCCCCGACTTGCACATGTGCACGCATCTCTAAAATAAATAAGGATTTTTAAAAAATTAATGTTTTGTATTTTTGTTGGGTATCATTAGAGTTATGACCAGGTGTACATTTCTAGAAGTACTCCAAAGTAATGTATCATTTGTGTTTTGTTTTTTTTGTTTTTGTTTTTTTTTAAAGATTTTATTTATTTATTTGAGACAGACAGAATGAGAGACAGAGAGCATGAGAAGGAGGAAGGTCAGAGGGAGAAGCAGACTCCCTGCCGAGCAGGGAGCCCGATGCGGGACTCGATCCAGGGACTCCAGGATCATGACCTGAGCCGAAGGCAGTCGCTTAACCAACTGAGCCACCCAGGCGCCCCTGTTTTTTAAAAAATAAGGGAAATTGGCCTTTGTATGGGGTAGTGAGAGAGCCTCAGGCAGCAGTGCTGGGTTCTCCTCATTCTGCCGCAGCCCAATGGTGTGGCCTGGGCCATGGGACCTCTCAGCCTCTGTGGTGGTGGTTCCATCTGCAAATCGAAGGAGCTGTACTAGGGTCTTAAAGCCCCTTTAGCTCTGAAGTTCTGTGTGTTTGCACTTTTATCCTGAAACTCTTTTAGTCTGATTTATAATAAAGCATAATTCCATAATGAGGTGATGCCATGGACATCCCTATTCTCGTTCCATTACCAGCAAAATGTAACCTGTTATACCCTTACTTGCAAAGGTCCTTATAAATTACAAGCATCCCTCAGTATCCAAATCATTCAGTTCCCAAATTCAGCGAATTAAAATTCAGACGGTGAAGGATAGCTCTGTATTAGTAAATGTAATTTCTCAGTTTTCATTGCTGTTGTAAAGGCAGACATTTCGTGATGGGCCATACTTTGATATTTGAGTATCAGTCTCTGAAGAACCTTGACCGTTGACTTTAAATTAACAACAAAAAACAAAGCTGTTGTGGACAAAGCTTAACTTAGATACTTTTTCTTAAGCTCTCCTCATAACGGAAGAGAGAACTTCCTGGTAGTTTACTCACAGTTAAAGTGCTGTTACCAAAACATGTCATTTGAGCAGATTGTTGAGGTGTACCTAAATGCCGACGTAACAAGGTGCAGAGTGAATCTTACTGGTAACTGAAAGGTCAGTACTTATGGAGCGTTTACTATTTACCAGTCTCTGTGCACAGCACAAGCACTGTGCACGGCAGAGTGAGCTCCCCTCAGAGTCTGGGGGTGCCGGAGACCTCAGCATGACACCGGATGGCTTGGGGCACCAAGTGGTCTTTAAAGAGTGGAAATGTTAGTTACTAAATCACCTCCCCCCCACCAAAAAAAAGGCTTTATGACATACAGAGGGGTGGGGTTCGGTCCTTGGCTGCCACCTTCCTCATGGCTGCCAGGGAGTCGCTCAGCTCCTGTCTTTTCCTCGTGGCACAGATGTGTGGCCCCACCTTTTCCTCAATGAGCTTGAGGGTGCGCTTGTCCTTGGAGACCTTGAGCAGCGCTGTGGCACACCTTGGATCTGCTCTGCACGGACTTGGTGTGCTTGGTGGGGTGCCCACGGCGGCGGCTGGGCCTTGGCTGCTCCCATTCTTCCCTCCTTGTGGCCCTGCTGCTCCTCCACGGCTCCCAGCACCAAAGAGTTAATACTTTATATCTTTCTCAAGGGCCCGGGTAGTATGGTCTTTTATGTATTTACCTCCCGGTTTTGTTTTCTATATTTTGTTTCTGTCAGGAGAGAACGTTGGGATTATTCTCTGAGCTATCTGAAGAGAGCGACTCAATGCACCTGGGTCAGGCAGTCTGTGGGCATGAAGTGGTTGGGAGAATCCAAGAACATGGTGGTGAATGGCAGGCGGAGTGGAGGCAAGTTGTCTAATGACCATCAGCAGAGTCCATCAAAATTGCAGCACGCGGGGAAGGAGGCCACGAAGGCTGGCAAACACGCAGTTGAGAGGAGGTCAAGCAGATGTATGTACACAGCGCAACTGTCCTTTTCATTGTGATCTGGCCGGTAATTCCTTGCGGCTTGTAACATATATTCTGTCTCTGTTGTTTTCAGAACACTTGTTCATGTTCTCACAGTTAACTGGGTTTTTTTTTACCCTTTCAAAGTTATAACAGTTCTTATTCTCATCTGATGTGCATACCTCTAGTTTAATGCTTAATACGATAACTATAATTATGCCCTTATATCCATGACCTAAGTTATATTTTGTAGAATGTATACCTGAGTGCTTAATCTGTTCTATAAAAAAATATTAAAGTGCTGCCACTGGATTTCCTATAAGTTCAAATCATATTTTTTACATCTGATGTGAGTGTAAGTATGTCTTTCTTTGAAAACTTAGCAACATGAATAATCAAGTCATCTCTACAGGAGAAGTGGAATTTAGGGCAGCTTCCCAAATTGTTGCCCTATTTTTACGGGGTGAACAGTCGTGTATCCTGACACTGGAGCACTGGTGATAATGAGTTACTTTTTTACCTTGCTACCTCTTGGTGAGAAGGAGGCTACTGTTAAGAGTTCAGGAAGTAGTTTTTTTGAGAGCAGGAAAGTGCCCCAGGGTAAGTGTGAACCTAAGTAGGCAGCTACATGAAGATATCCAACCGCGTACGGCCATGTTGAGGAGGATAGCTTTCTAAGTTCTTGCTTCTCCTGAGGTTAATTTAGCCCCCCTACAGAATAGTTTTAGTTTATGTTGCAGTTTCCCTGCCCTGAGTAGAGTTGGATTTTCCTGGGACTTGCAGCAGTTTCACATAGATTGCACCAGTTCCAACTGATTATCTTCCTACTGTTTAGAGGTTCATGCAGTTTATTGGGCCCAGGGCGCTTAACATTTCCATATCAGCACAGGTCACTGTTTCGGTAAAAAACTAGGCAGAAAGCCCTGCTTGGGATAGGAGTTAGAGAGAGAGCCCAAGACTGAATAGATTCTCCTCCTCACGGACACCTGCTCACCCCGGAGCATGTGATGGGAACCTGAAGGAAATGAGAAATTAGTGACCGTAGCAGGTGGTATTGGCTCTGGTCAGTAAATTAGGCAACTTTTTTTTGGTTGTTTTTGTTTGTTTGTTTGTTTTTTCAAATGGCTGTTGGCCTCCTTTTGTGCATGATAGAGCAAAAGGTCTTAATTAGTTTAATTGTTGGAGGTACATAATAATGTAGAAAATGATCGTTACATGTGCTACAGTTTGCCAAGAGTAGACCGATTCTGAGGACAGGCTGGGAAAATCCAGCGAGTGTGAAGATGGACAGCGTCACATTGAATGTCACTAGACAAGAATGGTACAAAGTGAGAGCCGACGATGAAGCAAAACAAAGTTGTGCTCCATCCTCAGTAACTACAGTGACTTCACCTAACAGCAGAGCCTCAAAGTACGTGATACAGAAATGGACAAAACTGAAGGGAGAAATAGACAACTCAACAGTAATTTGGAGACTTCAGTTTCCCACTTTCAATAATGAATTGAACAACTATGCAAAAGATCAATGGGGAAGAAAGACTTAAAGAGTACCCTAAACTAGTTCTTCCTGATGGACATCTGTATAAAGGACCACCCAATGACAACAGAACGCATATTCTTCTTAGGTGCACATGGAACATTCTTCAGGGTAGACCATAGGCTAGGCCGTGCAACAAGCCTCAATAAATGTTAAAGGATTGGAATCATACAGTGTATATGTTCTCTGGTTACAATGGAGTAAAATTAGAAGTGAATAACAGAAATTTGAGAAAATCACAAATATGTGTAAATTAAACAACACACTCCTAAATAACCAATGAGTTGAGGAAGTCCAAAGAGAAATGAGAAAGTACTTCAAGATGATTGAAAATGAGGATACAACATACTAAAACTTACAGGATGCAGCTAAAGCAGTGCTTAGAGGAAAATTTATAGTTGTGAACAACTGTATTAAAAAAGAAGAAAGATCACTCTTCATCAGTAACCTAACTTCTTACCTTAAAACACCAGAAAAAGCAGAGAAAACTAAACCCAAAGCAAGCAGAAGGAAATAATAGAGTGGAAATTTACAAATAGAGAAGTAGAAGGACAACAGAAAATCAGCAAAGCTAAAAGTTGACTCTTTGAAAAAAAAAAAAAAATCAACAAAATTGGCAAACCTTTACCCAAGACTAACCAAGAAAAAGAGAAGCCTCAAGAATGAAAGAGGGGACATTACTACTGCCTCACAGAAGTAAAAAAAAAAAAGGTTACAACTCAATATTGTGAACACCTGGATACCAACACATTAGATAACTTAGATTAAATGAACAAATTCGTAGAAAGAACAAACTACCAAAACTGATTCAAGAAGAAATACAACATCTGAATAAACCTGTAACGAGTAAAGAGGTTGAATCAGTAATTTTTTAAAAACACTGCTAAGAAAATCTCAGGCCTGGATGGCTTTGTTGGTGAATACTGGCAGATATTTAAAGAAGAATTAACACCAATTCTTCACACACTGTTCCAAAAAATAGAAGGTAAGGGAGCACTTCCTCATTCAATGAGACCACTATTATTATGCCACCAAAACCAAAGATATCACAAGCAAAAAATATCCAAAGAACTACAGACCAATATCTCTAAGAAATATGGACACAAAATCTTCACTAAAATACTAAGCAAATCCAGCAAGAAGTGGGAAGGGTTCTATAACATAAGCAAGTGGGATTTATCCCAGGAATGCAAAGTTGTCTTAATATCTGAAAATTAATGTAATACTACCACATCAATAACATGAAGGACAAAAACCCTAGGATCATTCCAGTAGATGCAGAAAAAGCATTTGACAGAATTCAACAAGACCCTTACAGGGTAAAAACACTCGACAAACCAGGAATAGAAGGAAATTCTTCAACCTGATAAAGGACGTCTACAAAAACCCACAGCTGATGTCCTATTTAATGGTGAAAGATTAAATGCTTTTCCCTTGAGATCGGGAACAAGACAATAATATCTGTTCTTACCACTTCTATTCAGCCTTGTGCTAGAGGTTCTAACCACAGCAGTTAGGCAAGAAAACTAACTAAAAGGCATCCAGATTGGAAAGGAAGAAGTAAAATAGAAGTAAAATAATCTGTTTGCAGATGACATGGTTGTGTATATAAAAAGGAATCCACTTAAAAGCTCTTGGAACTGATAAATGAGTTCAGCAGGATAGATCAATATGCAAAGAATAAAAGTATAAAACTTACACTCTGGAAACTACAAGTCATTGTTGAAAGAAATTTAAAAAGACCTAAATAAATGGAAAGACATCCCATGTTCATTGATTAGAAGACTTAATATTACGATGGCAGTACTCCCCAAATGATCTACAGATTGAACACAGTCCCTATCAAAATCTCAATTGGCTCCTTTGCAGAGAAATTGGCAAGCCAGTCCTAAAATTCTTATGGAAATTCAGGGGACCCAGAGTAGCCAAAACAGTCTTGAAAAAGAACAAAGATGGCACACATGCACTCCTCATTTTCAAAACTTAATACAAAACCACAGTGTTATTTTGGCATGTGGCTAGACATATATCGATGGAATAGATTCGAGAGTCTGGAAATGAACCCTCATGTTTGCAATCAGTTGATTTTCGACAAGCATTCCAAGAAAATTAATTGGGGAAAGAATGGTCTTTCAATAAATGATGCTGGAAAACTGGATATCCACATGCAAAAGGATGAAGTTGGACCCGACCTCGTAGTATGTGTGAGAAATTAACTCAAATGGATCAAAACCTTAAGTATAAAATTCCTAGGGAACATAAGCATACATTTTCATGACTTTGGACTAGGCAGTGGTTTCTTAGGACACTAAAAGCACAAGGAACAAAAGGAAAAATAAAAGATAAATTGAAATTCATTAAAGGTACAGACTTTTGTGCTTTAAGGGAAACATCAAGACCATGAAAAAAAACTCCCAGAAGGGAAAGAAAAACCATTTTCAAATCATGTATCTGGTAAAGGACTGGTATTTAGAATATACAAAGAACTCTTACAAGTCAGCAGTAAAAGACAAACTCCAATTCAAAATGAGCAAAGGAATCTGAATAGACATTTCTCCAAGATACACAAATGGCCAGTACGTGAAAAGATGCTTGAAATCATTAGTCATCTGGGAAATGCAAATCAAAACCACAAGCTACCACTTCACAGCCGCCAGAATGTGTCAAATTAAAGGGACAGATAGTAGCAGATGTTGGTGATGATGTGGAGAATTTAGAAACAATCATACACTGCTGGTGGGAATGTAAAATGGTGCAGCCACTTTGGAAAACAGCCTGGCAGTTTCTCAGAAGGTTAAACATAGAGTTACCATATGACCTAGCACTTCCACTCCTAGATATGGGCTTAAGAGAATGGAAGACATAGGTATACACAGAAACTTTTACATGAATGTTCATAGAAACATTGTTCATAATAGCCCCAAAGTGGAAACAGCCCAGTGTCCCATCAACTGATGAATGAACTAACAAAATGTGATCTATCCATACAATGGAATATATTATTTGGCCATAATAAGGAATAAAGTACTGCTGTATGGTACCACATGGATGAACCCTGAAAACATTATGCTAATTGAAAGAAACCAATCACAAAAGATCACATATTGTCGACTTCATTGATACAAAATTTCCAGATCAGGCAAATCCATAGAAATAGAGAGTAGATTAGTGGTTGCTAACGGCTGGGGAAAGGGAAAATCGATAGTGACTGCTCATGGGTATGGGGTTTGTTTTGGGGGTGATGAAAATGTTCCAGAATTGATTGTGGTGATGGCTACACAGTTCTGTGAATACGTTAAAAACCATTAAACTGTACGCTTTAAATGGGTGAATTCTATGGTTTGTGAATTACATTTCAATAAAGAAAATAGAAAATATACCAACCTGGTTAGCTTTTACATACCTACGTGCAAATGGTTTGATTGCAAAACATATACTTACCTTCTGATAGGGACTTAGATGTTTAGTGTTCATTTGTTTTTTGAAAGAATGTAGAAAAGAAGGTTACCTCTCACTGTGTCTTTCATTCCTCCACACCTTAATTGTGAGAGGTTTAAGATTATACTGTTTGCATAATTAAAAGACTATCGCTGACCTACATGGCTGAGCACCGATGAAACTTCACCCGGACGAGTGTGGCCTTCCTGTCCTCTCTCTGCGCTGTGTTTCTTCCCCACCAAACCAAATTACTTCAGTTAGGTATCTCCGGCACTCCCCTGTTCTTATCCATTCGTTCAGAATTTGTTTCATACAGGCTGGAAATCGGCCTGTCATTCTCTCTACTTTCCCCGCTTCTGCCACCTAACTCTTCTAGTTGAGTTTCTGAACCCTTTGCCTGCCGGGTGGGGATGGTTCCCATCCACCTGCCCCAAAGCAGGCAGGTGAAGTGATCTCCTCAGGGCTCCTTTTGATCCTTGAGGTCCACCCTTCTGGCACTTAACTGCAGAGCGTTTCTTGTGCTCTACTTGTTTCCTCCCCCCTCCCCCTATCTGTAACGCCTCCTGATGCTGTCTTGCTATGGTAATGAGCATCCACTCATCCCGTTTCTCATCTTCCTCCAAGGGTCTAGTAAGGCATTTGAGCCCAAGATCTCTCACCTAGTCAGACCCTGTTCTTGGGAAACCTGATATCATCTACTAACCAAAATACTCTCCATTACTTACTGTATTTGGCTTTCTGTTTATGCAAAAGGTACTCAGCTCTTAATTAAACAGATTGAAACAAGTAATTTCAATTCTGAATTACTAGAATATAAGTAGTTTTCTATTTGAGTTACTTTTCTTTCTTCTTCTTTTCGTAGGTAATGGTAATTCGGGATTTGAAGGACAGAGTCGATATGTACCATCTTCTGGAATGTCTGCCAAGGAACTCTGTGAGAATGATGATCTGGCGACCAGTTTGGTTCTTGATCCCTATTTAGGTTTTCAAACACACAAAATGAATACTAGGTAATTGTAAGTCTTTATCCTGAAGTGGAGCAGATGATGATGTTGAATTTAAGAAAAGAGATGCTAATTTTACTTTTAGTCAGAATTTAAAATGACATTAAAGGAAAGATCTTTGCTGTAGAATATTTTCTATATGTGAGCCAAGAAAAGCAACAAAAGCTTCCAAGGGTCTTGTCAGTTTTAATTCTGTGCTCTTATTTTATCTTAGGCTGTTTCTATTAAAATATAAAGCTGGAGGAGCATCTCATATTTTATTTTAAATGTTACTGATAATTATCTTAGCTGAAAGAAAAATCTTGTGAAACCTTGAAAATGTATATGATTTTTTTTCTGCTCAAAGTAGGTTACATCAGGGTTGTTTTCATGATTTTATTGTAGACTTTTCTTCTTTTAAATAATTGCAACTGTATATAGAGAATTTGGCCATCATGTTTAACCTTTGAGATTCAGCTAATCATGGGAAGAGTGAGTATTTTTAAAGATGTGCTTCTGTTCAGTACACAGATAAGAGATGCGTAAGTGCTTTATTGAGTATCACATGCCATCTGTATAAAATATGAGACTGAGCGCTGCCCATTGGGCTAAGAAGGCACCTGTATAAAATAGTATTACATTGCTTCTGAAATCTGTTACATTCTCTTAAACATCATCTTTCCCCCAAAAAAGGCCATTAGATAATTTCATAATTGCCACCGGACACTAAGTCAGAACTTCACAACTTTTCTTTACCTCTTAACTTGAGTGGCAAAGGGTTTTCAAGGCTGGTGGAAGAGCGTAACAGCAGGGACTGAGAATGTCGAGCCAGTTCTAGGGCCCTGATCCCTCCTACCTCCCTCACACTTGCACTGGTGTTTGTAGCTCCAGGGCCGGTGACAGCCCTAGAGGGACTTGATCACCAGGTGACTAGTCAGTCACCAATAGTGGGGGGAGGGAAGAATTGGTGAGTAAAGGTGACTAGAGGAAATCTTGTGCCATTTTTTCCCCTTTTAATTCGGTCCCTTGCTAGAATTTAAAACAAGAGACAGTGTGATTCATTTGTATCAATTATATTCTAAATCCAGAAAGAAGTAATTCAGATAAAAATTAGCCTTTTGTATTTTCTTTCTTTTTTTTTTTTTTTTTTAAGATTTTATTTATTTGAATGAGAGAGAGAGGGAATGAGCAGGGGGGAGAGGGAGAGGCAGACTCCCTGCTGAGCAGGGAGCCTGATGTGGGGCTCAACCCCAGGACCCCGGGATCATGACTTGAGCCTAAGGCAGCTGTCTAACCAACTGAGCCACCCAGGCACCCCGAGCCTTTGGTATTTTCATGTGATTTTCTGTCATCATAGACCTTTTCTTGCTATAAAATGAAGTGACAAGTTGATGTGGACTTGAGAACTTATTTAAATAGCTCCCTGCCATCAGAAGGATAGATACCTAAATTTTGTAAGTAGGCAGGTGGATGACTGTTGTCTGGAAAGTCAGCAGGACTGGATGCCCTAGTATCCAATTAAAATCTGGTCTGCATTAAGTCCATTTCCCTTCTTTCCCCAGTGAGGCTAGCACCTGTTCTCCTAGGAGGTCCTGATAATATTTAAGAAATGTGACTCACTTTCACATAATAGTCTTAGAGATACTCAGGGTATTACTGTAAAGGCCCATAATTATGACCTGGAGTCATCAAGCAAGAGGAGAAAGGTCATGTTCATTATGCCTTGTATACTGAGATATGGAAGCATGTAAGCCATCTTAGGAAGCATTGCATCAGAATTACAATAAAATTTTCAGTGGTTTAGGAAAGAATTCCTGTGTATTCGGTCCCCTCTCCCCCAGCCATTCTTTGTTCCAAAAGATGAGCAGTTACCTGTTAGTGGCTCCTGCAATAGGAAATAAGTCATATTTTTAAATAAAAGTCCTCCTTGACAACTGCTTCCCATAATTAGTTTTCATGTGAGTCACTTGGGGAGTCTTGTTCAGTTGTAGGTTCTGATTCAGTAGCTGTGGGCTGGGGCCTGAGATGCTCCATTTCTAACAAGCTGCCAACTATACTTAGAATAGCAAGGTCCTAGGCCATCTGGCCTACTGAGCTTTGTTATGATATAATGAGTGGATAAAAAGTTCCTTATCAGTAGTTTCCTAGCTTCATTTAAAAATGTGCAATCTGGGGCACCCACATGGCATAGTCAGTTGAGTGTCCGACTCTTGGTTTCAGCTCAGGTTGTGATCTCAGGGTCGTGGGATCGAGCCCCGCTTTGGTCTCGGCACTCAGCACGGAATCTGCTTGAGAGTCTCTCCCACTCCCCCCTCCCTTCCATGCTCTCGCATACACGCTCTTGCTCTGTCTCTAACTAAATAAAATCTTTTAAAAAATAAAACATGCAGTCCTAAGATGTAAACTTCAGGGTTACTCCACAAATATTATTAAAATTCAAGACACTACTGTATCCAGATAACCCTAAATTAAAATGCAGGATCCTAAATTGGTTAAACCACATTAAACATTCAGAAGAAAACATCTGTTCGTATTTTTCAGTACAACATGTAATTCTACTCCTGGAGTTCCTAGAGCAGCCATAGGTGGTGGAGATGGTTGTGCTCTGCCCTTTCTAGAGCACCTTGGGCCGCGTGGCTGAGCAGGCAATGCTGCTGTGTCCCCGAGCACTGTCCATCTTTACTAGAGGTGTCATTTCAAAGGCCTTTTTTTTTAAAAAAAAGATTTATTTATTTGAGAGTGCGTGCATGTAGGGTGGGGGGGCAGAGGGGGAGAAGAGAGAGAATCCTCAAGTAGACTCCCCAGTGAGCATGGTACCTGACATGGGGCTCGGTCCCACGACTCTGAGATCATGACCTGAGTCGGACGCTTAACTGACTGAGCCACCCAGGCGCTCCCATTTCAAAGGTCTTTTTTTTTTTTTTTTTTTAAGATTTTATTTATTTATTTCACAGAGAGAGAGAGAGCACAAGTAAGCAGAGTGGCAGGCAGAGGGAGAGGGAAAAGCAGGGTCCCCACCAAGCAGGGAGCCAGACACGGGGCTCAATCCCAGGACCCTGGGATCATGACCCAAGCCGAAGGCAGCCGCTTAACTGACTGAGCCACCCAGGCGCCCCTCAAAGGTCTTTTAACAGGCTTTTGTAAGCTACCATTTGGGAATACACAGAAGTTTTATTAATGAAGCTTGTTAATCTTAGTGAAAGGCGTACGTGTTCATTTAATCTTCGTGAACTTGAAAATAAAACTGTCTTCTAATTCTTCATCTTTTGAGCAAGAATTTATCAGAATGTTGACTTACGTCATTCTCAAAGATAGCATTTTATAGGAAATGAGGAAAATCAGTGGTGCTGCATTAGAATAATTTTGACTGTTTCTTAAATTATTAAGCTTATGGACTTCTCTTTGGGGTATGAAAGACATGACTGGAGCTTGGATCTTCACTGTCCAAGCTGTCTGTCACTTGTAAGAGTGATCTCCTCGTTCCCATGTTTGTACATCTGTAATTTGATTGTCCTTTTTCAGTTTCTCTGTTTTATGCCTTTTCCCCTCCCTCTACTTCTCACGGTGTGCCGTCAGAAACCATGTTCAGATACAGTAGATACTTCACAGCTTAAGAATTTCCCCAGCTCTGTTATGAATGCTTATGTTTTAATCTTGATAAATCCCTACATTTACAAACAAACAAGTTAGAGTTGTAGCATGACTATCTAGAAATGGTATAAAAAAAGTAGTAATTTCAATTTATTGGGGAATATTTCGATTTAGTTGACTTCTGTCCATTATGAAAATGAAATTCTTCCTTTTAACCAGAGAACAGAGTTGCTAGTTATGCCTCTGATTTTTTTTTTAATGTCTCTAATTTTTTAGAAAGCACGTGGACAGGTGATAGTGTAAAGCAGGGGTGGACGCCTTCCATGATGCCCCTTGTTGTAGGCGGCACGACTTGGAGGTTTCCGTCTCCTGGGGAGTGGGGGACGCTGAGCAGGAAATAACACGATGAAAAAATGGGAAGAATCCTCACAGGATTTTTGGAACTTTTCTCTCTTTTTCTAATCCAAATTATACTCGGCTTGTCTCATCCTTCTCCTGTTGTAACCATCTAATTTTAATTTTGCTTATTTATGTATTTGATTTTTCATATCCAGTATGGGGTGTAAATTTATAAATCACTTTAAATGTCACTTTAAAATCAAGCGCTTGATTAGAAAACAAAGACATTTTTAGGCCTTCTAACTTAATGCGATCAAGGGGGAAAGGATGTCGTGTGGGAAAGAGATTTTCGGCATCTTGGCCTTTGTTTATATGCTGAGTCTGCGCACAGCTTCACAAAGCTCTTGAGTGTCACAGCGTTTTAAGGACTTGTGGGACAACTAATATTGTGAGTCTGTTTCGAAGTTATAAATACAACTTATACAAATAGTTTTTATTGTTGTTGTTTGTTTTTGCATTTATATAGCGCCTTTCCTTCGAGGAGCTCAAGGCATTTTTCAAAATCTGACAGTTTTCCTCACAACAACCCTGTGAGGTAGGTAGAGTGCATTACAAACAATAATAAGATACCAGCTAACCTGTTTCAATCTTTATGATGTTCTTTTGTGTTAAGTAATTGGAGGTGTCAGCATAAACACGATTTTTAGAACATTTTGCAAACCTTTTAAAATAGTTTGATCATAGTAATAGCTGTATTTAAAAAAGCACTTGTACTCCATAACAGGGTAATTTTAAGAGAAAGCATTCATCAAAAGATCAGGAGTCACTCCCTGGGATTAGCTGAGCACTGATTGCAGGACTCAGCCAGGTATGTGTCTGGGGATTGTCTCCTTTCAGGTCCAGAAGGAATGAAGAGCTGTGGTTCTAGCATGATTCCTCAGCATCTACCAACTGTCCGTGTGCAGCTGAACTTTCTTCAAAGGGGGAAATGTGTTCACAATGTTGCCTCACCGTCTTCTTATTTTATATCTTAAATATTTGAGCATTTTCTCTCTTTTCCTCTCTCCTTCCCCTGCTCCCTTTTTTCTGTCCCCCTCTTCTTTCCCGCTCCCTCCAGTCAGCTCTTGGGTGTACATGCTAATGGAAGGGCACAGTAGTACACCTAATACAAATCCGCAACTTCCCTTCATTGCCACACTGGTCCCTTGGGTTTGGAAACAGAAAAACCAAATAGCAAGAAAACCTGGGAAGTCAGTCTCTGGAAAGAGTGGGGAACAGGTGTGTGGGAGTGTGAATTCATGTTTCTTTCTGCCCCTTTTAATAATAAATGACTTAAGTGACATATTTTTGTATTTCTTATACCAGCCATTGATCAGAGGTGTGGGAAGAGAACAATGTTTGGTTTATTTGAAGTTGTAAAGTTTGTATTAAGAGAGGGAAGGAGGGACATACTGATTTGGAAATGCCAAATTCCTGTCTCTTGCCTCCCCTGCCACGCTAATTGCCACTTCCCGGATACCAAATTCAAAAGTGTATATTTGTGTCCACCCCTTTCGCAGTCTCTGGCTGGGCTCTGTGCTGTGCTGTGCTCAGTCAAATCCTATTCTGATCATGAAGCACCAGAGGACCCTCAGAGTTGTACACGAGAGAGTAGAACTGGGCACAAGGCCGGGTAATAATAGTCCCTCCGTTAACAGCCCTTACATTAGGCCTTGTTTTCCTCATTTATGGAACAGGAGCATTGTTTCATATAACCTAAATATTCTTCTAGCTTTAAGAACCGTGGTGTGAGGATAGCTTTGTACAGTTTGCATGGTAGGTTTAGAATGATTGTGGTTAAGGAGAGGACAAAGGGTATTTTTCTCCTCAATAGTAGAAAAACACTTCACTGTTTTCCAGGGTCTTCAGTGCCTTTTTGCTCTGGCTCTATTAGTTGTAACAATCTTATGTTATTAAGTAATTTTATCTCCCCGCAGTATCTGTTATAATGGGATTTGACTTGAGCTGTCAGCCAGGTGATTTTGATGTACTTCTGTAGGATTATCGAAAACAACTGTCTCATCCCCTTCCTGTCTGCACCCAGAACCATTTCTTCCTTTGCCTCACTGTCATTTCACGCCTATAGCAGCCAACTGAGACAGTAAGTTCTGACAGTAAATTACATCTTAAGTGAAATAGGGGTTCTTGCCAGTGAGTAGTAGCAAGGGGCAGTTTCGGGGGTTTTGTTTGTGTTCGAAGCAGTAGAAGTCAGGAAAGCAGAAACAAAGGCAGACTATTACTAAATCGCAGGTTGGTTATTTTGTGTTGGTTTTAGCATATAAATTGTTTGGCATCATGAACAAAGAGTAAGCAAAAGTAAGGAGAGCTGACAGGCATTTTCAGAGAGGGAGGAACGTGTTTCAGGAAGTGGAGAGCACACAGAAGGCCTGTCAGGAATAGGCAGCATCCATTCCACGTCTGCAGCTTATTTTTCTGACATGTTCTCAAGAGCTTTAGGTGAATTTAGCCCTGACTTTGGCTTGCTTTCTAATGCATCAAGCCATGTGGTTGTTTTAAAACACATTGTCAACGTTGGTCGATTCCACGTTAAACTTGGAAAGATGGCTTGGCTGTTTCTGTGCTTTGTAGCCACTTAACATCATAGATGAGTCCTCATATTCATTCTATAAGTGAACTGTTGCTTTTCTGTTTCCTCCACAAAGCATGGGTTATCTGTTTCCCACCATTTCACATTCTGTCTTGCTCGAAGAGGAGGTGTGCCTTAGCTGACAGCTGCTGGGGCGTCTTGTCTGTCCTTCCTGTGCAGGGAACTTCATAGTGTAGCATTGCGGCACGGAGGGTTTAGGTTTTCTAAGAAACCCACTCTTGACAAAGTCGCTTGTGGTGGCTACAAGTAAGTAGTTTAGTGTTCTATCTGTGTGGAAGTATGGATGTTTCTACAATTCTGCAGGTGGTTTTTTTAGATCATTTTAACGGTGGTTCTCTGACACCGTATTCTGACAGCTTAGTTAAAGACCTTCTGAATTGTTTAAAGGACTTGCACTCACCTGCCTGTGAGGGCTGGTATGCTAATTGATTGAAATGGAAAATAATGTAGGGCATTGTCCGTTTATTCATATGATCTCTCTAGGATGTGCCTGAAGTCTTTCTCATAGTTCTGCTTACTAGTTGTGAGCAGCTTATTGACACTCTGGCTAGTTAGTTCCTAGCGGAGTCAGCTTGCATTTCTAGAGTGGATATGGGTCCTGTCCAGTAAACAGCATTCCCCCCACTCAGGGGCTCACGTCTTTCCTCTTCCTTGTTCTAGTACTTTCCCCCAATGTTGCTGGCCAAGCTGACTCTCTCAGCCCTTGTTCAACTCTTTGAATCCACCCTCATTAAGATCCTCTGCTTAGACTTCCCCTCACTTTGCCTGCTGCCTTTTGATTCTTTCCTGCCTATGGTAATAATCTGCTTTTTCTTTAGAAAGCTGAAATCACCACTTTCCTCACTGCCCACATCACTGTCAAATCCAAAACCCCTTCTCAAATAGACCTCACACCTCCGTTGGTTTCCATACTTGAAAGTGCTGTGGCATGTGGTTTGTGCCCTGTTAACTTGCAGTAGCATAACGATGCCTTGCTTAACCATTGGATGCATGTATGTGTCTCTTAGTCCCAAAGGGGTTTTCCATTCAAGAGCAGTGGTTGTGTCTTTGCTCATATTTTCCTCCACACCTCCACAGCGCCTAATAAAGAATCTGTGGTGAGATACTGTGGCTTAAAATCTCACTGAAATGTGATGGAGACCTTTATGATAGCTTACCTGGAAAAAAATTCTGCTTGGATACTTCCTTTGCTAGAGTTTGTGCCAGATCTTACTTCCATGTTAGTGTGTTCAGGGTTTGCAAGACGTGCAATTTTAATTGTTGGAGTAAGATGCGGAGTTCAAATATATTTTCTCCTCAGCCACTAATAGTTTTTTCTTCAAAGTTTATTTCAGTAGCAGTCTGGCTCCTTTTTTGTTGCTGGACATTCCAAAAACAAAACAAAAGAACTTTATTTGGGAAAATAAACCAAAGGAAATTGACATGAGAAGAAATTTTGAAATTAAGGTGCAAGTTACACATTTTACTGAGAGAACACAGCTTTAGAATAAGGGGCTTTACAAACAGAAGTCTTTTTTGGACCACGATTGTACAGTATTCTGAAAGCATGGCTGGTTTTATTATAGAAGCCTTTCAGAATTCTACCCCGACAGTTTTTTCTTTGAAATCACCAATTTAGCAGTATCACCGCTAGAGTTGTGCTTTTTGCAAAACTCTTTGCTCTCTGAATGCAGTTATCAAAGATTAATTTGACATGGGTGTTAGAACATCAGGGTGTATTTCGGGACCTCTTGGGATACTAGTTGGTTTGGGATTTTTCTAACTGTGCACATACAGAATGTTGTTTATGGCATGATTTTGTTTGCTTTATCCCTCTGAAGCTCATTGCCTTGCACTCTTCTGGCTTGAATTCTGCATGTTTTAAAAAAAATCTTGTCATTCTAACACTCAATTAGACACATTCTGTTCTAGATCTTTTGTACCATCCAAAGTATATGGCTAGTATGAGCCTGAATCAGACAGCTTTCGTTTGAGTCATCTGGTCATTTATCAGTTCAATGAGGTAATAGTAAAATAAGAATATCAAAGTATAGTTTGAAGAAAGAGAAGTTCTAGTTCCTGGTGATCGCTATTACTTGAGCATAATTCTCAGGATTATTGATGATTATCTTTTGTTAAGTCTGGCTGTTTTTAGTTTATTAATCTCTTATCTCAGGAACTCGCAACAGTGGCCCAGGGATGATAGATAACTAAAGTGAATGTTTTGATTTTGTTCAGATTTCGGCCTATTAAGGGAAGGCAAGAAGAACTAAAGGAAGTCATTGAACGTTTTAAGAAAGATGAACACTTGGAGAAAGCCTTCAAATGTTTGACTTCAGGCGAATGGGCGCGGCATTATTTTCTCAACAAGAACAAAATGCAGGAGAAATTATTCAAGGAACATGTAGGTTTATTGATAAGATTAATACTGTTTTTCTGTTTGGATAAGAGTGGAGAAAACTAAAACTTAAATTTTAGTGAACTTGAAACTTTAAATCAATTTTACATAAAGCTGAGCAATGTGAAGTTCTAATCATACATAAGATCGTTTGTATGACCTTCCAAAGAGAAAACTTTGTCATCTAAAGGTGAAATTTACTGTGAACTTTTAGAGGAACTTGGCCAAGCTTCTAGGTACTCAAATATGTGAAATTTTAAAGTAACAACAGAGTTTGTTACTTAATGATCTTTAATGTTTTATGTTGTTGGTGATGGTTTGCTTTTATAATTCTGAGCAAGTCTAATTGGATAAACAATTCAAAGTTAATATTCTTTTTTTTTTTTTCTTTTCTGTTTTAGGTATTTATTTACTTGCGAATGTTTGCAACTGACAGTGGATTTGAAATACTGCCTTGTAATAGATACTCATCTGAACAAAATGGAGCCAAAATCGTTGCAACGAAAGAGTGGTAACTATTATACTAGTATAACCCGTCATGTCATCTTAGTTAAAGTTCTCTTGTAAATAACTGTGGAAGTGCTAAGAGAGTTGTGGGAAGCAGTGAAGCCAGGCTCACCCTAAAGGAGCCATTGCAGGGCCAGGGACTTGGCCCAGGGACCTGGGTCAGGACAGTGAAATGAGAAATCGGAGTTGAACCAGATCTGTCCCTAAGCCACCGTGCTTTGAGTCTGAGTGCGGCTCGGTGACGAGGCTGCTGGAAGCGTGTGGGCGCCAGGGCTGGAGAACCTGGCTTTGAGAGTTCGTCTCCTGCTGGCCTAGAGGAAGGTGGGCTGTGAAGCCTTAATGATCCTAGGAATTTCACAGGTGGAAATTTTCTTCTGTGTTGCCTGCCTGAATATATACACAGACATAGATGTGCCCATTTAAATAAGGGTAGTGAAGTGGAGCCCAGGTAGGAGGGATGAAAGCCATTCATGAGAGAGAATATTGGATTATATGTTTCCTCTGATGCCTGTTCCTACCTTATCTCTCAGAAGAAGGAACATGTTGCCCCTCTCATAAGCTACCCTCAATACCCTCAGTATTTTTTATAGCAAAAATGTTAGAATCGGGTACCTGAAAATGGGATGGCCAAAGAGCAGCACACCCAGGCCTCTGGGATAGATGTGTGCTTGTGAGCGTACATGGGAATATATCGAGCCTGCTCCCCAGCTCCCCTGGCTCCCTGTGTTGTCGGCGGACGTAGAGCTTTGGGGTCTTGTCTTCTAGGGCTGGGCTGTCCAGTGCGGTGGTTACCAGCCGCTCGTGGCTCAGTGTGAACTGGGAAGTGTTGTCCGTGTGGTTTATGTGCCAGATGCTATGCTAAACTGCAGTCCTCATTAACATTTCTGCTGGAATAGGATTGGGGGTATATTGGGTTAAAACCTATGACTAGAAGTAATTTCGCCTGGTTTTTCCTTTACTTTCTTAATGTGGCTGCTAGAACGCTGAGGATTCCGTGTTTGGCTTCCATTACATTTCTCTTGGATGGTGCTGCTCTAGAGGGTGGCATCCCATTCCTGGGTCCCTGTGACTTTTTCCTCCTGCTTGTCTCTGTCTCCCTTTTTATTTATTTATTTATTTATTTATTTTATTTTTATTTATTTTTTTTTTTAAATTTTATTATGTCTCTGTCTCCTTCATCCACTGTCAGCAAGTTGAATTGAGGGCAGCGGGTATTTGCATCCTTCCTGCCTGCAAAACATGACACTGCGTGCTGCAGGGGATTCAGAGACAGAGGTTAGCGCAGCTTCTGGCCTCTCGTAGCGAAGAGGCAGCTAAGCAGGCAGCCGTGGCTCGAGGCTGTGGGGCTTCCGGGGAGGGCGAGGACATAGCCCGGTGGAGGTCCCAGGGGCTCAGCTGATAGACACACAGCTAGGCTTTCTCAATTCCTGGTATTGATTGGACAGGCTTATTTTATTAAAAGAAGCCTTGTTACTTATAATTACTAGTAATTTTTAACATGACATATTTTAAATAGGAAACGAAATGACAAAATAGAATTACTGGTGGGTTGTATTGCCGAACTTTCAGAAATTGAGGAGAACATGCTACTTAGACACGGAGAAAACGACTTCAGTGTCATGTATTCCACAAGGAAAAACTGTGCTCAGCTCTGGCTTGGCCCCGCCGCCTTTATAAACCATGGTAAGCTGTGCTTCTCGGGCGGGCGCGAGTGGCGGGCAGGACTGCTAAGACTTAGCATGGCCTTGTCAGACCGTCAAACCTCGTCTCCCTTAACAGGAGGTTGGAGATGGAACCTCTTGATCTTTCCCCACCAACTTATTAAATAAATAATCCTGTAGTTGAACTCGAGACCTAAACTTCTATCAAAAGTTGTAAAATTATGTGGAAAGCTTATTTCAGATTTCTGTAATTGTTCGTGTTTCAGATCTTATCTACAGTTAATTGACTTTATCTTTTGGACATTTTTCAGATTGCAGACCTAACTGCAAGGTAAGTGGAGACGTTTTTTTATTTCAAGTGTTTTGTTTCTGCCTCATGTATGAGTTTCTTAATAAGTCGATTGTATTTCAGTTTGTGTCGACTGGTCGAGATACGGCGTGTGTGAAGGCCCTGAGAGACATTGAACCTGGAGAAGAGATTTCTTGTTATTACGGAGACGGGTTTTTTGGAGAAAATAATGAGTTCTGCGAGTGTTACACTTGCGAAAGGTAGAGTATTGAGTAAGGTGGTTGTGGCATGAGCTGAGGTCACTTCCTCCTCATTTGCACGCAGGGGTCGTCCTCTGTGTTCCGTAGCCTTGCACCCGGCGCGGCGTGAGTCAGCAGCCAAAGATGAAGAGCTCTTTAGGGACCTTGGCACCTCAGCCTTTAAAGTCTTACTACCAGCTTATTGTTTTCTGAGTTGGTCAGAATACCAATGTGCCTAAAGAGAGAATGGGAACACACACACACACACACACACACACACACACAGCGCCAGAGTGGGGTTGCCCAAAAAATGGCAACTGACATTCACCACCACAGATAATCATGTAAAAACCCTGAAGTTGTCTTGGGTATTAACAAGCTGTGGCTTCTGGAATTTTTATGGGTTTTGTTTGTTTTAATTTTTTTATTTGAGTGTAGTGGACACACCACAATACGCTAGTTTCAGGTGTACAACATAGTGATTCGGCCTCTCTGTATGTTATGCTATGCTCACCAAGGAATTCTTCTGTTTTGATGTCCATACTTTTCGTAATTCCTAAGTTCTGTCTCTTCCTTAATAAGGTACCTCTTGTGTCCCGTCAGGATTCTGGAGTCCTTGTAGAAATCCCCCAGATCGGACTTAGCGGGACTCCTGGTTTCCACTCACTCGCTGCACTGGTTTCTGCATAGAAGAGCTCCCAGAGGCGGCCTCACCAGGGCGGCCTCACAAGCTTGTCTCGCTGGCGCTGCGGGAAGGCTTCTGTCACGAAGCAGTGCACGTTGGCATAGGGCCATACAGCAGAGCAAACCTGGGTTTGTGGAGTCTGTTTTCCTTACCTTGTGCTGTGCTGGGCGCTTCACTAACCCTGACTCACTCAGTCCCCGCGGCCATCCTGTGAGAGAGAGTACCAGTGATAAGTCCACATTGCAAGGACAGACACGGAAGTGTCTGAACCCGGGGCAGCTGAACTCCAGCGCCCTCGTTCTGCCCACTTCATACTACTTTTGCAAATATGAGCAGGACTGTCCGGTAGTGCTCCTTCTCCCTCTGAAAACACCCAGCCTGTAGCCAGCCAGCCTCGGGGGAGGGAGTGAATGCCCCAGAGGCCCCACTCCCCTTCTTTCCAGGTAGCTGGCAGTATTGTCCCATGTCACGAGAGAGCAGAAGCACGGAGTCATGGTACTACTCCAGCCGCTTCTCTCCCATCATCGGGGTCCTTGCCATAAGGAATGGCAGAAAACCTCTTTCTGGTCGTGCTGAATATTTGTCCCCCTCCCTTTTTGGGGGTGGTGGTGTAAAAAGTTTATCATTTTCTACATAAAAAATGGTTTGAATGTTGGTTAAATCTTAGAACAGCCCACAAAAAGACCTTTAATCCATGAAGTAGTTTAATTATACTTGAATAATGCTTCAAAAATCATTTTCTAGGGAAAGCATATAGTGTAGCACTTAAGTGCCTAAGATCTGGAACTTGCATGAGTTGAAATCCTGTGACTGCACTTCATTATTACCTACGTGATCTTGGGTGACTTAGCTGCTTTTTGTGCCTTAATTACCCCATCTATAAAGTGGAAATAACACTAGAAGCGGTCTCACAGGGTCACTATGAGGATTAAATTTATTATTTCCTGTGAAGCACATAGAACAGTGCACAGCTAATACTCAGATGTTAGCTATCAGGTTATTTTGTGGTTTCTGGTTATTTGCCCATTAGAGTGTAAGCTCCATGAAGGCAGAGATTTTTTTTATCCTTTCACTTACTACTACTATATCCCCAGCATCCAGAACAGCGCCTGGCACTAGTAGGTTCTTCATTAATTAAGTATTTGGTCACTGAACGAATGCATGAACAAACGAACGGGGCAAACAGGATGCTAAATAAGCTTTCAGAGGCTGTCCTGAGAAATGCAGCCACATATTCAGGATTCCGGGCCAAGCCTGAAACAGCTCTTTTACCAGTCTGGAATTGCATATATCAGCCTGTTTCTCAGACACATTAGTTCTCTGTGAGCCTCAGTTTCTCACTGGTCAGATGGGGGTGATCCTGTCTCCTCCACAGGGTTAGTGTGAGGAATGGATAGATACACAAGTAGATCCATTTTTAATGGAAAGGCTTACTCCAAACAGCAGCCACGGCTCTTTTCAGACTATTTGAGCACTTTGATTTAAAGGTTGATTGCAAATATTCTTGAAATTCTTAGGAACACCTAAGAGGGTAAGACTAGTCAAAGGGACTCATTCAGTTATTCATCAGCTATTAATTGAATAACTGACTTAGTTAGGTCTAGTACATGCCGAGTAAACAAGACTAGCACAATGCCAGATGTGAGAGCAGTGCAGGGACATGCACACATGCGCTCTGCCAGGGCTGCAGGATGAGAAGAGGTGGCCCCGTGAAGAAATCAGTGAGCAGAAGGTTTACAAAGGCACTGAGATCGTGGGTGAAGCATCCAGGATGCATTTGATGCACGTTTCTGACTATAACCGTCCTGACAATCACTATCATGAATGTAGTATGTTCATAAGTAAGTGCTGCGGATCTTACTGTAGAAAATGTGAGGAATAAAGTCTAATGAAGGACCAAAAAATATGAAGGATTAGATTATTTTTAAGTTTATATAGAAATATGTCTGATGATAGCCAAGGAAAAATTTCTCAAGTATAGTTAGAGGAGATTTGCATTAACAGATACCAAAAGTAACTAGGAAGCAGTTGCGATCAACATTTGATGCTATTAGCCCAGAATTGGACAAACAGAAAAAAGGACACGAACAGAGGCCTGAAGCAGCGGCGAGTGTGTGTGAGATCTGATATCACATACAGGGAAATGATGATTTGTCTAATGAATGATGTTAGTATCATTCACTGTGCATCTGGAAGAAAACCAAGCTAAGTTCAAGATGGGTTAAAGATTGAAATTTTAAAATACAATGCAAAATTGTTAGAAAAATATTAGTAGAATATCTGTCTAACCTTGGGGTGGTAGAGATGTTTTGAAAGAAGTAAGGTAAAAAACAGTGAATACGAGAATGTTTGAAAGGTCAAAAGTAAAATCAAAGACAATTGATGAACCAAAGGGAAAACAGTACACATGTGGCAGAGTTAATAATCCAAATAACAAAAAGCTCCTAGAAGCTCATAAGGAAAAGACAGACTCCAGAAGAGAAAGGTAAGGAGGATGCCGCACAGAAAATCATGGCCATAAACAAGGCAGTTAAAACAGTAAGCAGGTATTTGTTGTCGCTAATCAAATTGGCAAAATATAAGAGTTATACTCTGTAGTGCTGGTGAGGATGTGGAGAAATGGGCACTCATACGTTGTTAGTCGGGCCATGAATTGTCTGGCAATCATTCAAAATAAGTGCACCCTATTACCCGGCAGTCAGTCTCATATGGGAGAATCTCCCCTGTGGAAATACGAGCAATCGTTAGTAAGGATTTGCTTTCAAGAGCAGTATTACCAGCAGTGTTCCTGGTGGCAAACAAAAACAAAAATAAAAATCCCTGCAAGTTTCACTAACCAACAGTGAGGAATGATTGAATGCATCAGGGAATGTTTATTCAGTGTAAAATGTACAGTTTTCAAAACATATGTTCAGTTTAGATTTATTTGTCTATTGCATAATGATAAAGCTGGTTGCTGAGTATTACCATACATTTTGGTTTTGTTTTTCGTTTTGTTTGCTTTTTTAAAAAGAAGCAACTGCATAGACCAGTGTGCAGACCGTGGCAGAGGGGTGGAGGATGACACACTGGCAGGCACCTCGGGGTTTTGGGGGTGCAGGGTGGCTGACCAGCAACTTTTGCTTTATGGACTTAGATCCTAGGATTGTTTTGCTTGTTGCAGCAAAGCTGGAGCACGTCTTACTTGCATAAGTTAGAAAGAAAAAAATCAGAGAAGTAGAGAAGCAGTTGAGTGGTAGAGTTTTACTTTAAAAAAAAACAAAAACCTCTAATTCCAGAAAAAAATAATTCCACCATGATCATTTGTATTTAAGCATAACTTTTTTTTTTTTTTGAAAGATTTTATTTATTCACTTGAGACACAGAGAGAGAGCATGAGCAGGGAGAGAGGCAGAAGCAGGCTCCCCACTGAGCCAGGAGCCCAGGACAGGGCTCGATCCCAGGACCCTGGGATCATGACCTGAGCCGAAGGTAGATGCTTAACCATCTGAGCCACCCAGGCGCCCCTGTATTTAAGCATAATTTAAATATGGCCCATTTTTCTGGAAGTGAACCAGAAATGTTATAGGTTATGGGGAAAAGGCATGGACTATCTGAAAATACCGTATTACTCTAATTCCTATGAGAAAAAAATCACCTTTGACATCTCTGCATTTTCTTTTTGCACATGTGTCAGTGTGGACTGGAGTGGAACTGCCTGCCTGTCTGGGTCGCAATAACCTGGACGTTTTACCATGATTTCTGACACACTTTCCAAGACCAGAACTGAGGCAGCCACACAATAAGTTTGTTGTGATTTTTCTTTTTTTAAGATTTTCTTTATTTGAGAGCGAGCACAAGCAGAGGGAGAAGGAGAAGCAGACTCCCCACTGAGCAGGGGGCCCGATGTGGGGCTCGATCCCAGGACCTGGGATCATGACCTGAGCTGAAGGCAGACACTTAACCGACTGAGCCACCCAGGCACCCGGTTTGTTGTGATTTTTGCAGAAACGTTCATAAAAATGGAATTCCAGGTCTGTTCTGGAAAGGTGAAGGAAGCAGGAATGCTCACCTTACTTACCAGAGATAGGTTTGGCCATCGGTTTAGGTGTGTGGCCCCTCGCTTTAAGAGGTAAGATGGTAGGAAGAGAGATTGAAAGTTTTGGTGTCCCTTAGCTAAAAGTGGAGCACTCGGATTACTGGTGGGGGTGGGGGGAGTAGTTACTTTGTCTTCATCCACATCCTGAAAGGAGGGGATCACATGGGCTCTTCTGGAGGCCAGTACTGCTCCCAGGCTGGAGGGCGCCTACAGTTTTGCTGTGTGTTCAAAAGCTGCTGTTATACGGCTTTTCCTTAACAAGCTGAGGACAAAAAGGCAAGTCAGTGAAGGCAATTTTGGACAAAGATATTTCTTTTTTTTTTTTTTTTTTTTTTGTTAAAGATTTTATTTATTTACTTGACAGAGACACAGCGAGAGAGAAGCAGGCTCCCGGCTGAGCAGGAAGCCCGATGCGGGGCTCGATCCCAGGACCCTGGGATCGTGACCCGAGCCGAAGGCAGACACTTAACGGCTGAGCCACCAGGCGCCCTGAGATTTCTCATTTTTTTATTGTAGTATGTAGCGCCTTTTTTTTTTTTTTAACCCTCAGTAACTTACTCTCTCAAATTGGGCTGAGTAGAAACTCACCAGTACTCACTGAATAAAGTTAATGTCTGCAAAGTGAGATTCAATAAGGTCGATGAGAGCCTCTTCACGAGCACTTTCACTTCAGAAGAACTTCTATAAAAATGTAAATTATTAGAGTAGGCTACAAACCATTCTTGTCCTGTGAAAAAAGCAAGTCTTTGAATGCCTTTTATTAAGTAACATTGTGTTAATTATGGTCATTCATGTTTATCTTAATAACTTGAAAGAAATTAAACAGTTTTTATTGTTCTAGAAGTCAGATTTTCACTGATGTAGTGTAGCCACCTTACACAGAATTTTAGTTCAGATTTGTTTTGTATCTAACATCGAGTTCTAAGTAATGAATTTATGGAAATTCTCTGGTTTCTTTTTTTAATTCCTTAGTTCTTAATATTCAGCATTGTAGAGGTAAATTGCGTAGAACAGAGCTGGAATATAATTAACAGGTGGGTTATTTAAGCTATAATGTAGACCAGGGCGCCTGGGTGGCTCAGTCGGTTGAGCGACTGCCTTCGGCTCAGGTCATGATCCTGGAGTCCCGGGATCGAGTCCCACATCGGGCTCCCTGCTCAGTGGGGAGTCTGCTTGTCCCTCTGACCCTCTCCCCTCTCATGCTCTCTCTCTCTCTCTCATTCTCTCTCTCAAATAAATAAATGAAATCTTTAAAAAAAAAAAAAAAAGCTATAATGTAGACCTAACTATTGACTAACCAGCTTTGAAATTGAAGAATTAGTTATTTCCACCTACATGTGGACTTCTTCAGGGTCTAGGAGTTTCTCATGGGCAGTTAATAATCAGTTGATAATGGTCGCAATAATTTGTTATTTAAAATCTAGAGGGTTTTTTGCATTAATTTTATATGCAGTTTTAATTCTCTTGCGAGTCCTAGACTTGGCAGATTTCCAGTGATGATTGAGGCCTCATCACTGTGCCTCCTCTGTTCCCCTGAGGTGGCCGTGAGCCCACAGCAACTGACCTTGTAGTGAGTACACTGTCTGTTTAACCTGTGCTGTTTTCTCTTTCAGACGGGGAACCGGTGCTTTTAAATCCAGAGTGGGACTGCCTGCACCTGCTCCTGTTATCAATAGCAAATACGGACTCAGAGAGACAGATAAACGCTTAAATAGGCTTAAAAAGTTAGGTGACAGCAGCAAAAACTCAGACAGTCAATCTGTCAGCTCTAACACTGATGCAGATCCCACTCAGGAAAAAAACAATGCAAGTAAGTAAGGGAGATTGATAAGCATCTCTCTTCTTTTTTTATTATCATTTTTAAGTATTTTCACCCAGTTATCTTGCTAAAGTATGCTTCACTTCAGTAGTTTTGATCTTTTAAATATTGAGAGAAGCTCTGGGACTCATGTGCTTCCGCAGCACTGCAAGGTTCTAGAAACGATCTGAGCACAAAAGCAGTCTGTATCCCGCCTCCAGATTCAGTCCTGTCCTCTAGACTGAACTGTCTGCTTTTCTTGAATTCTGGTAACTGGATATTACATTCTTCATCATGTGTTCCAGGGTCGTCCTGTGTTTGAGAGAAACATTTTCAAGGTATTAGTTTGGCTGTCGTGATGGCGGTAGGTCCTACAGGAAGACGAAGGACTGGGTAGAGGCGTAGAGGCACGTACATGTCCCTGCGCCGAGCCAGTCCGTTAGCACGCGTGATGACAGCCTGGGCAGTTCATAGCTCTGGCCTCAAGGCTTCCACCTTTTTACCGCTTGCTTGCCCTTTTCAAACTGAACTGAGCCCGTTCACCAAACCACCAGTTACCAGACTCAGAGTTGTGATAGAGGAGCATTTCGAAGGTCGCTCCTACTGTGACGTGGTGCATTAGCCACCACTGAAAGCAGCAAGAGAGGTGAAAAGAAGAAGCCAGCATTAAGATACGAGTTGTGCGTGGGGGCAAGACCGTATGGAAACTGGAAACAGAGAGAATGGAGCATAAAGAGGAAAGAAAGCGAAGCAAGCCTAGCCGGGCAAAAGGAAACGCGTCATGTTTGTGGAGCTTTGAAGTCCTGGGACCATGCTCATGGCTGCCGGTTTCTTCTGGGTAACACCAGTTTCCTCTCATTGCCACTAAAGCTGTAGGCTCTTTAGTCTGACTTGTTTCTGACAGGAATAAAGTTTCAAAGTTTTGACTCGGTGATCCCTAGGGACGCCCGTTTCAGCACGCCAGGTGGCCGTAGGTACTTGGCTGAGCCTTCTGAAGTTGGGTTGTTTGAGGCTCCTCTCCCTACCTTCAGACATTTGCAGCCCAGCACGGTGCACCCCTCCCCTGCAGAAAACCCTGGAGAGAAGGGAAGGCCTCTCCCATGATGGTGACTGTCACTGCCGTGAATTCCTGCATCCACCTGCTGCTGGACGGTCAGAGGCCAGGTGCAGCCCCGTAGTAGAAGAGCAGTGCTGTGTTCCTTGTCCAGTCTCTCATGTCCCAAGTGAGCAGAAAGAGCGCAGTTAGCCCGTCATTCACTGTTGACTGTTGGTTCTAATAATAAATGGAACATAATCAACGTTTTGTTTTCGGAGTCTGGTTCCTTGGTGAAACTGGAGACTTGTGAAGCCCGGTTTAGAAATATGTGCATGAAACACTACAGAGCACGGACACGGCCACCACGCTGCCCACACCGGATGGCTCTGACACGGGGGGCATTAACTCCATTCCTACTGTATACATACCGAGTTCAGTACACCATGGAGGCTAAAAGAGCATAATGTGTAGGTAGTTTGTGAGAGTGTACTGACTACTGTGTGACCATCTAGGGAATATTTCTTAGTAAACCAAATACTTAAAGCCTGCTAGTTGTTGGAGAGAGACAAGATGGATGAGACTCAGGCCCGTGCCTCAGGCAGCTTACGCCTTAGTGCCGGGATCCGACAAGTACACAGTTACGCAGCGCAGACTATAAATGCCATTGCTCAGGTTCAGAGCGAACCAGTAATCCCTTTGAGCTGTGGTCTCAGCATCACTGAGCAGACATGCAGCACTTCCCAGTGATGGCTGATGGGAGGGGGCTGACTTTGTTCAAATTACCTTTCTGCAGGATTATGGTTTTGAGGACTTGGAGGGTCGATGGAGCTAACTTTGAGGGCCGTGTGTAGAGTTGACAGATGCGGCTCTGTGCTCTGGAGGAGCGAGAGGCTTCTCACCCGTCCTCTCTGAGACCGCCCTAGACGAGGTCCCCTTCATAGCACTGCTCTTGCAGGCCCCCACAGGTATTCTTTCAGATGGGATTTCTTTTGGTGTCTGTGTCTGGACCATAACCTACCTGTTTGAAAGACTCCTTGAGATCGCAGCTGATAGCAAAGCCAGGGCTGTCCGGGCGTCTCCCAGAGGGGGCGACGTGGTTGCGTCTGGATCCGGGGTGCTTTCTCCATGCGTAGCTGCCATCCTCACCCTGCCGTGCGTTTAGAATTCAGGGGGCAGAGACTGCTTGCTTTGAACAGCTTGTATGTTCTCTTCTAAAGAAACATTTCTGCCTGGTTGGGAGAAAAATTATTTCTTCTGCACAGATTTCTTTTCTGAAAGGTGTCTCAGGAGCCCCAAGTTGACTGTTGGCTTTAGCATCTGGAAAGAGGAGACAAGAGATCATTTTCACAAATTCAGTCCACAAGCCTGAATTATAATGCCGTTATGAGAAGATTGTGGTGTTTTAGGCCTCTGGTGCCTCAGTGGCTGGGCCACCCCCCCCCCCCCCCCATAGTCGGTGCTGTGATACGGGGTCTGAGTCATGCCAATGCCACAGATTGTTGTGAGACCCAGAAGACAAGGCCGGTGGAATAAGTTTATCTTAACTCCGGAGCGCCTATCCTAGAGATAGTGAACTGGGTCACCCACTTGTCACTGGGAGCTGTGTCAGACCTCACTGTGGATCTGAACACTCCTTGCTGCTGGGCCTATAGGCTACTCCGGAGTCCTTTCCAACACCCTGTTGCAGGCAGCCACTGCCGGTCTGTGCTGGTCACGTCAGATGGAAGATGCTTGTTGTGCCTGCCAAACTTGAACTGAACTCTAAAGTCCTACTCAGGGTTTTCTGGATCTTCACGCTCTGAAGATGCCAGGCCGTGGATGGCCCTCATGTTCCCTTGGTTCACGTTGATAGTGTGCATTTCTGGGGCTTTTCCAGTACAGAACCCAGCCTGAGTGTGCGGGGAGCTTTGCTGTTGTTTTGCTGTTCTTGTACCTGCTGTAATTCTCGAGGCCCACGCAGGGCTGCCTTGCGATTCGGAGGACACCATGAGATGGCAGTGAGGGCCGTGCCGTGTGGGTCCTGTACCCCCGGGGGCAGAGACCCACACTGTGACTCTGTGGCATACTTAGTACAGTGGATCTGGAGCCACGGATCTCACTCAGTCCAAATCCCCCATCTCTTGCCCTTACCGGTGGACAATCTTAGGCGCGCTTATCCATACGCGCTTGGTTGTCACATGGATTTAGTAGCACTACAAAGGATGCATGTTAGGATTGAGATCATACTGATTGGGCCATTTTGCACAGCACCAGTGTATAATAATTGCTAAGAATGTGTATCTCCACCTAAAAATACTGTCTTAGGTTTACGCCGCCAGGCAGGAGAGTTGTCCGTGGTGTAGCAGCCTGGAGGCCAGAGTGGCCACAGGTGTCCTGGTCTCCACTGAGTCAGAATCCTCAGTCTCTGGACAGACTTCCATTAGTCTGCAGCGTGGCTCCTGTCTTCCTCCTTAAGCCTACCGTCACTATCCTCCTGAACCCCAGAGGACAGTGTAGACCAGTCTGGGAGAGTAGAGCCCTTGGCGCCCATGGGGCTCCCATCTTAGTCACATTCCTCACATTTCTCTTGCCCAGTTTGTCTCAGTCTTTTCTGACCTTTGACTTGAGCATACCTCTTAGCTGGGCTTTTTTTGAGATACTGTTTTTAAAACAAAAGACTAGACTGACCAATACATGAACATATGTAAGTGAGATCTCTGTGTTGAAAGAACACATAGCATCGAATACAGTCTATTTTGTGGAGTTTAGAACACAAACACAAGTGCTTTGTCAGTCGTTCACTGCAGTCGGCTAGCAAGGAATCCATTGGAAGCAGGGGTGGATTCAGAATCCCCATAAAGTGAGACTCAACCTGATGGATTTAAAATATGAGCCGGAGTAAGGATAATCTCAGGTGCTCTGAAAATACAGAGGGAAGGAGACCTGTCATTTGTAGGAAGTCATGAAAGGCTCCCTGAGCGAAGCATTTCCTAAGCAGAGTCTTAAAGGGGGTAAGAGGTTGGGCAAGTGAAGCATGTTCAGAGCAGAGGGAGTTCACGAATGGAGAAACGGGGACGAGCGTAGGACTCGAATAAGGAAAGTGTGTCATGCATGGCTAGAGTAGGGGCTGGGAAGGAGGGATATGACCACTGTTTAAAAGTTTGGATTTATTCTCAGGGCACGAGGTTATTGGAAGTTTTGAAGCCCAGCAGTGACATGTGGCACTAGGAAATTCACTCCGGCCACAGGGTAGAGAACGGGATGTTGGGGAAGCAATGGGAGGGGTGAGGAAAGGAAGGGGGGGAGTCGAGTTGTTGCCACGACTCAGGCAGGGGACTGTGAAGCGAGAGAAGTAGATGGCCGCAGGGGCGCCGCAGGAGTGGGCTCCACGGGACATGTGGCCGACTGGGTGAGGCAGTTAGGGAAAGGCCGGGATGACCTCCCGCTGTCTGCTTGGGCAGCTAGCTGGGTGGATGGTGGTGGTACTGAGCAGGATGGAGAATGTAGGAGGAGGACAGCCGTGAAGCTTGATGGTGAGTTCAGTTTGGGCCCGTTGACTGTGATGAGGAGTCCATCCTCAGGGGAAGATCTAGATGCCAGCGGGCATTTGGTGATTCGGATCTGTAATCTAGGAGGGAGGCTAGATGAAGTGGCTCGGGAGCTGCCAGTGCATCAGTGGTAAGAGCCATGCGGGGGGGCGGGGGGAGTGCCTGTCACCCATAGAATGTGTAGTTTCCAAAGGGTCTAGGACAGCAGAGGCCTGAGGAGCGCAGTCGAAGGGGCAGATGGGAGGGCAGGAGAGAGTGCCCCTGTGGGCAGCCAATGGGACAGGAGTTTTCAGGAAGAAAAATGGTTAGCAGTGTCACATTATGCAGAGAAAGGAAGAGGGAGAAGGGCTAGAGAGTGCCTGCTGGATTTCATGACAAGGTCTTCCAAGATTGGAAAAAGGCCGTCTCATTAGAGGGACAAGCCGGATCCAAATTGCAGCGGGATTGCTGTCCAGCATGTGGTGTGTATGTTTTCGTTGTGAAGGGGCAGTTGCAGGTACAGAATGAGAACAGGATGGCAAACGGCAAAGTAAGGCTGAGAACCACTGATTTTGGTCATAGACTGGTCCTCAAGGAGCCTGGTCTGAGCCAAAGGACTTCACAGCCACATTTGAGAAAGCCAAGTGCATTTACATCAACAAGCACATCTATTCAGTGTACCTTGTAGGAAGCCTTGTGAGCATGAAGAAATCCTTTAACAAAAGAATGCCCTGTGCAGCCTTGTATTTAAAAAAATAATTTCCAGCTAGTTCTGTATAATTCCAATTCATGCTACATCAGTTGTTCTCCAATTGAACGGTATCCAAACCACGGCTCCTACTATTCTAAAAATAAGTGGCTGCCTTGGGGTGGTAGCCCCCATGGATAAGCACATTCTTGGTCCGATCAGGGGATCTCACTCCTGGGAACTGTGTTGGTTTGGGTTCCCCAAAGCCATTTATGAGACACCCTTTTTGAGTATAGAGCCTTCTATTCTTGGTGGTTTGATATTTTTGGAATGCTTGTAATGCATTCTTGCTCTTCTCTCAGTAAAAACTAACTAATGGTAACTTACTTGCTTAGCCATGCAGAAGGAACAACAGTCGCCCTGGCAGCCCTTGGGCATGTCGGCGGCAGCAGTCTTTGTCGGGCAGTGTGCTCGGTTTACCCATAGTCGCTTTTTACTCTCCCTGTTTTCTGAGAGAAGTGGGGAGTATCAGTTTGGTCATCTCAGCTTCCCTAGTGAATGACTGAAAGGGCTAGTTTGATGGGGAAGAGGTTTTCAGGTGGGAGCCGGGAAGACTGAGTAATTGAGAGATGGATTCCTGTAAAACACTCTACATACAGGTCCCAAATGTCAATGGAGAGAAAAACATAAAGACAACAGAAAGCCCCTGGTAAGGTCATGCTCACCGTGGAAGCAGCTTAAACTTGAGTCACCTGTAAGCCTTTTGAGACTCTGGTCAGCGGTCCTGTTGGTCCTCAGGTTGGCCGTTCCCTGTGGGGTCATCATAGGCTTTCTGTATGCTCGTCCTGAGGAAGTTGGGTCCCCCTTTGTCCCAAGAGTGTAACTCCAGCAGCATGCTTCTTCCCGCCTCAGTTTGATTGTTGGCAGCAGGTGGTCCCTGGAGGGACGGGGCCAAGTAAGTTCTGCCGCCCTTGGAAGTCTGCTGGTCCTCACGGAGTGGGAGCAAGAACTTTGTGGAGTGCGGTTCGTTGGTGGAAGTAACAATATATGGTTCTTTGGGTCTCTCTGGCTTGTTTGAAGTCATTGTGATAGAGTGTCTGTTAGAGCTCGTTAATATATTTCTGTTCTGTATTACTGGTCGAGTAATATACTTCCTTTGAGTTAATGAGTAATGGGTTTTAGAAACCTATTTTGAATGATGATGTTAAGAATTTGTGAAAGAAAAATCTGATTTTTCCTCAAGTTTACTTCAAATCTTCTATGTGGTAAGAGATTCGGGACAAGAAATACTGTGGACAAGTATCGCGGTAGATTACGGACGAGCTCAGAGTGGAGTCCAGGTCCTTGCTGTGGGAAACGCATAGATGCTCCATAAATCGGAGGCAGCAGTTGGGAAGTTACAGGAGGGTGGTGTGGGGTGCCCGTGTGCGGGCCGAGACCCAACGGGGTCCATCTTGCACGTGCGGGTAGAATGCGAACCTCTCATAGCTGACAGGGTTGGGCATCGTTGTGTTGAGCACTCCTGTGTTACCAAGGCTGGTTTTCATCCCCTTTTTTTTTCTCCTTAATTGCAGCTCCTAACCGAAAATCTTCAGTTGGTGTGAAAAAGAACAGCAAGAGCAGAACACTGACGAGGCAATCTATGTCAAGACTTCCAGCTTCTTCCAACTCTACCTCATCTAAGCTAACTCATATAAATAATTCCAGGGTACCAAAGAAACTGAAAAAGCCTGCAAAGCCTTTACTTTCCAAGATAAAGTTAAGAAATCATTGCAAACGGCTGGAGCAAAAGAGTGCTTCGAGAAAACTCGAGATGGGAAGCTTAGTACTCAAAGAGCCCAAAGTAGTTCTGTATAAAAACTTACCCATTGAAAAAGAGAAGGAGCCCGAGGGGCCAGTTCAAGCCGCGGCAGCCAGCGGGTGCTTAACCAGGCACGCGGCGCGGGAGCACCGGGCGGGCTCCGGGCGAGGCCCGGCGCCGGCGGGCGGCGCGCCCTGCACCCACGCCACCCGGCGGTCGGCGCGGGCGAGGCTGGCTCCGCGGGGGCCGTGTGGCAGCCCGCGGGAGCCCGGCGCGTCCGACGGCCCTGCGAGCGGCTCGACGGGCGCCTGCCCGGCCAGCGGCGAGCGGCCGGCGCCCGCGGCGGCACAGAAGCGGGAAGCCAAGTGTCAGGGGCGCGACAGCAGCGCGTCGAGGAAGAAGTCGCGGCAAGGGAAGCCGGCGAACCCGTTGGCGAGGGCCGAGGAGCCCGCCGCCGGGCGCCACTGCCCGGGACAGGCCGGCGTGGCGCCCGAGGTGCTGGCGGCCCGCTGCGAGCCGGCCGAGCGCCGCGCCCCCGAGCCCGAGCCCGAGCCCGAGCCCGAGCCGGCGCCCGGCGGCCACGCGGACTGGGCTCCTGCGCCCGGCGGCTCGGCGGGCGCGTCCGAGGGCTTCCGGCCGAAGGGCGGCTTCCGAACTGCGAAAAGTAAAAAGAAGCGGCGGATCACGAGGTATGATGCGCAGCTGATCCTGGAGAATAACTCCGGGATTCCCAAACTGACTCTTCGTAGGCGCCACGACAGCAGCAGCAAGGCAAACGACCAGGGGAGCGATGGCACGAGCGCTTCAAAAATAAGCATCAAGTTAAGTAAAGACCACGAAAACGACAACAATCTGTATGTAGCAAAGCTCAATAATGGCTTTAACTCAGGGCCGGGCAGCAGCTCCACGAAGCTGAAGATCCAGCTGAAGCGGGACGAGGAGGGCCGGGGGCCGTGCGCCGAGGGGCTCCGCGAGAACGGGCTGTGCTGCAGCGACCCCCTCTCGCTGCTGGAGTCGCGCGTGGAAGTGGACGACTACAGCCAGTACGAGGAGGAGAGCACGGACGAGGCCTCGTCCTCGGAGGGCGCCGGGGAGGACGAGGACTACGAGGAGGACTTCGAGGACGACTTCATTCCTCTTCCTCCAGCCAAGCGCCTGCGGCTGATCGTCGGGAAGGACTCCATAGACATTGACATTTCCTCCCGGAGAAGAGAAGACCAGTCCTTGAGGCTCAACGCGTGAGCTCTCGGGCTCCGTCCGGCCTGGGAAACCTCCTTCAAAGAAGTAAAAACAAATTCCAGTCAGTTATGCCCCACCCGAGACGTTCTAGCGGCCGCACCTCCCTTCTCTCTCCACTTAGCAGCGTCATGCTGTAGAAAGTGTACAGCGCACTCTCCCCAAGTCTGATTTGTGCACATTTTTATTGTACTTTTTAAATAGCCTTCTTAACGTGCAATTCTGAGTTAGAGGGAAAGCCCCGTTGTAAAATAAAGGCTCAAGCAAAATTGTACAGTGATCGCAACTCTCCACACGGGACGTTGAAAACAATAATGTGGCTACGCAATTTTCTTTTCCTTTTTCTTTCTTTCTCTCTTTCTTTCTTTTTTTTAAACCAAGAGCATCAACTGGCTCTTTAATATATGACTAAAAAATAATTTAAAACAAATCATAGTAGCAGCATATTAAGGTTTTCTAGTATATGCTAACATCACCAGCAATGATCTTTGGCTTTTTGATTCCTTTGCTAGATGTCTCCCCCTCGGAGTCCTGTCGGTTTCACACTGTTTGCTGGCCCAGGTGTACTGTGTGTGGCCTTGCTTAAAAGAGCAAACCATCGGTTGGGAGTCGAATTGGTTTCTTTAAAAAAAAAAAAAAAAAGTACAATTACACGCGTGACCGCTAACTTTCCAGTACATTATATGTACGAGGGTAGCAGTGTGCAGGATGAGTTCCAATTCAGCGTATTTATTGCTTGTCATGTAAATTAAAGACCTTGTATTTAACACTTTTCAATCCTTTTAGATAAAATTGTTCTTTGCAAGAATGATTGGTGCTTATTTTTTCAAAACTTTGCTGTGAACAATGTGATGACAACAAGCAACGTTTATCTAATGAACTACAGCTCTCTTAATTTGGGTCTTCAAGGTTTCTGTTGCACTTGTAAAATGCTACAAGGAATATTAAAAACTCTATTCACTTTAACTTATAATAGTTTATGAAATAAAAACATGAGTCACAGCTTTTGTTCTGTGGTAACCTATAAAAATGTTTGTCTTTGAAATTCAATGTAAAGAACTGAAAACAATGTATATGTTGTAAATATTTGTGTGTTGTGAGAAATTTTTGTCATAAGAAATTAAAAGAACTTACCAGGAAGGTTTTTAAGTTTAGAAATATTCATGCCAATAAAATAGGAAATTATAAAATATATAGATTTAAGCACTGCATCAGTGGGAGTTCTTGGCTTATGTTAGTTTATGTATGAAAATATCAAAGATTTTTTGACTATATTATCAGTTAAGCGAAAAGAGGAGTCAGATTTAATTTGTTTTTTTTTTTAAGCACTTTGAGAAGAGAAATTAATTTTAAGTAACTTAATGAGCAAATTTTTGATTACTACTTTATGTTCAATACCAACCTTTCATTTCTCTGGATTATTTTACAAATCATTGGACAAAGAATTTGGGAATATAAAGCTGTAGCAGGTGTTTGACGCCAGTGGGTCTCTCTTTCTGGGAAATGTGTACATGTACTTTCAGATACACAGCGTTCCTGAGTAAAATCGATTTAGGGGATTCGTGTAGTGTCTATCGAAAAGTAGCCCATGTCTTAAGATAGTGAAAGGAATCTGCCCGTGACGAAAAGTCCAGTGGAGAAAACCTCGATGCTTACTGTTGTTCCCAGGTGATTCCTGCCGGTTTCCAGGTTCTGGGGACACCCTTTAAATTGAGTCCCATGAAACGATTGCCAGTAGGGGTTCCACGTAGAAATTAAGAATATTCATAAAAGTGTTGGCAACGTAGAGTTCTTGTTTCTCCTCACGTTCTTCAAGGAGTTACTTGTGTGGTCTTAATGTCGCCTCATTCCCGTCTGTCCCGTGCAGGTCAGCCCCTCGGGTAGTGGTGTGGCGGCCCCCCTCCCCCCGCTCCGCAGGTGGTTCTCCCCCTCGCGAAGCAGGACGGCCCCCCCGGGCTCTGTCCCGAGGCCCTCGGAGCGCATTGCGGACCACGTCCAGTCCTCACGTTGTCCCTCGGAGGAGTGTGAGACTCGTGCCATTAAGGAAGGTCGAGCATAGACTCGGTGTCTGGAAAGTAGCAGAGAGCGGTGGGCCACCTCTTTTCACTCCCGGCCTAGCGTGGGGCGTGTCGAAGAGGTTCAGAGCCTCAATCTCGAACCGTCTCCCGGAATGCCAACAACAGCCATTTCAGGAATCTCCATCTTAAGGAAAAAGTCACAAAATCCCACATTTCCCACGTTTCTCCATTTTTAAGCTTAATTTTAGTAACTTATTTATGTTTGTGTTAACTTGATTGCGGCCTCGGCTTTTCGAGACTGACCTTCCCCGTGGGCCCTAGCAGCGGGGCCCGGGGGCGTCCCCGCCTTGGGAGTCGGGGTGCACAAGCGCTGGGCAGCCGCGGCTGCCGCCTTCCAGGGAAACCTGATTTCCGTTTTTCCAGGTAGGGGCCTCGGAGCTGCTCGGGCTCCACCGTAGAACTTCACCGTGTGGAATGGCGAGAGCCACACGCGGGTGACCACTTGGAAGAGGTTGCGTTCCATACAACTTTGAGCTTGAGCTTATGCAATGATTCGTAAAGATTCTGGCATTGTAAGAATTAGGAAATGATCATAAAAATACATGTAAAGTATTCAATTTTCAATCATTTTTCAAATTACTGTTTTAAATTGTTTTGCTGAGTTGTAATACCTTTGAGATACAATGTATTCCTTGTACTGAAAGAATGAAAAAAAAAAAGGACTTTTTCAGCATTTGAGGTAAGTTCTTTAACGTTTCATTAAAAACATTTTTTACAAATATTTTGTACATGCACTTGGAGTATTGAGGTTAATCATTTTAATAAATTCGGAAATTAAAACAATTTGGCCGGTGTTCGCTGTATCTGAGAAGAAGAGATCGAAGTGGTGCCTTTCTCCACAAGGCTTTCATTTCAAGTAGAATTTGTAAAGTCGAAGGTTCGGAGGCTTTCCAGCATCTGCGGGTGGCGTGGCCCGCGCCCCGGCCTCCAGTGGCTTCCAGGGCCGCTCCTTTTGTCGAAAAGACAACGGGAAAGCCGTCCTTGTCTCACGGAGAGGCTCCTCTCAAACCACACGGCCCTCCAACCCCACAGTATGCAACTCCCGAGCACTGGGTTTCTGCCCTCGCTGAATGGGGCGAAACTGGCCTCTCTGGGGCTGGCGTGGGTCCTCTGTCCTCCCAGTTACTGCAGCAAAACCTAGTTGAGGGGAGAAGTGGGCCTGGCTTAGGAGCCAGGGAGCCGGAGTTTGCCCAGCCCTGCAGCATCCGAGTGGCCCCGGGCGAGCTGGCGGCCCCCGATGGCCTCTCGGCGGCGCCCCGAAGTCCCCGTGGACGTCCGGCGAGGCAGGCAGCGGGGCGGTGCAGGCTAGACTGGAGAGCGCTGATGTCCCAGCGTGGGGAAAGGCCACACAGCTGGCGTCCGGTCTCAGGTTTTCTCTCTGAAACGAGTTACTCCCATCCGCCACCCGGTGCAGCTAGCTTGCAGCATGCTGCCCGGAGCCCTGGTGTGATTCTGTCCCTCGAGTGGAGTGCCGGCTCTGTCGCTGGCGTGCAGCCCACCCTGCTTGCCGCAGGGCCCAGTGGCACTCTGGTAGCCCCGGGGGTCCCCTGCAAGCGCGGCCCGTGCCTGCGAGGGTGACGCGGCCTCCAGCTTCTCCCTCCCTGAGGTCAAGAGCGTGGGCATTGCTTGCATTCGCTAGTGACGAGGCCCAGAGAAAAAGCGGGATTTGATTCCTCGGGAAGGGGCAGGGAGTGTGGATGGGCAGGATTGGGAAGAAGGCCTCCCGCCAGGGCTGTCCCCACCCCCTCCTACTGCACCTCTGCCACTCGCTCGCTCGTTCCTCCCAGGGCATTGTCTGTGTTCATGGAAACTGCCGGAAAGCTTTCAATCTGGAGGCCCGAAGACGGCCTGCAGCCTCCTGTGATGACTTGGGTGATGTTCTTTAAGAGAAAAGTCTGTCTGTTACCAGATCCTATTTTCTTCTTGTCAGATGTGTGAGTTTTTCTGCTAAGTTCAGTAGATTGTGACTTCCCTCTTTTGGGGGTACCCCCCACAGTTGAGTCCGCTCTGCCATGGCGGAGGCCGGCGGGGAATTTGCAGATGGGTGGCCAGTCTGAGATCCCGAACAGCACTATCCTGAGTGACAGGAGTGAGGTTGTATTTCTTTAATATATGTTGAACCCCTGTTCTGTATTAGTGTGGGGACGGGGGGGGGGGGGCAGGCAAGAGGTGAGAGGCCTCGGTGTGGGTGTGAGTAAAGCCCTGGGAGCAGGTGAGTGACCTGGGGGAGGAGGACAGACAGCCTCTGGGCCCTCCCCCCCACCCCCGACCTGGGGAGACCTGGGAGAGGGCAGTGGGGCGGCACTTCCAGGAGGAGCCAGACTGGGGCTGGGGGTTGGGGGGGGAGAAGTCTGGCTGGGAGGGAGAGAAGGATCACAGCTGGAAGGGGAGGTGCGGTTAAGGAGGGGATTCGTTGTTAATGAAGGACAAGTACGGTGAGACGGTGCGGTGAGACGAGGAGCTCCCACAGGGGATGAGTTCCCAAAAGGGAAGGTGGGGAAGTTATTCAGAGTCTGCGGGCGGAGGGCTGGTCTTAGTCTGGGTCCGTCTTCCTTGGTTACAAGAGGAAAAGAGGTGGGCCTGTGGGGGGCCAGTTCCAGCATGAGGGTTTCTATATTGTCTATAAACAGGAGGAGAAGTCACCTGAGAGCGAGGAGGACGTAAGAGCCCCCAGAGCTTCGGGAGCACTAAGATTTAAAATCAAGAGAGGAAAAGCAAGCCGACTCTAGAAACCGGCATAATGCATTGCAGAAATCTTTACCAGCCAACTTCCAGGTACCAGACGGTGTTCTAGACACGCCTGGAGCCAAGGGGGTGGGGGGGGGCGGCACTTCTCAGCCCAGGTGTGAGGCTCTCAGCCAGGTTGGGGGGCTGCAGAAGACGGCAGGATGGAGGGCTCGGGGGGGCAGGAGAGGGCTCGAATGGAGAGCCCCGGAGAGTGTGCAGGTTAGGGAAGAGAATGAGTCCATGGCCTCAGTGGGCCCCTGGCCAGGGACAGTACAGACACCCGAGGCCAGGAGGTGCTCCTGTGGTCAGAGAACAGTCCAGCCTTAGACAAGCACGTGGGTAGACAAGAGGTTGAGGTCAGAGCGGCCTCGAGAACTTCGGAAGGGCTGCATTTAAATGATGGCAAGGTCCCTGATGGGGCCTGGTCGAGAGTGTCCTTGTTCTGGGAGACCAAGACGTTGGGCAGAACTGAGGTCACTCAAGATGACAACTGACAGGGGCGCCTGGGTGGCTCGGTCGTTAAGCGTCTGCCTTCGGCTCAGGTCATGGTCCCGGGGTCCTGGGACCGAGCCCCGCATCGGGATCCCTGCTCGGCGAGAAGCCTGCTTCTCCCTCTGCCGCTCCCCCTGCTTGTGTTCCCTCTCTCGCTGTGTCTCTGTCAAATAAATAAAATTAAAAAAAAAAAAAAAAAAAAAGAGGGGCACCTGGGTGGCTCAGTCGTTAAGCGTCTGCCTTCGGCTCAGGTCGTGATCCTGGGGTCCTGGGATCGAGCCCCGCATCAGGCTCCCTGCTCGGCGGGAGGCCTGCTTCTCCCTCTCCCACTCCCCCTGCGTGTGTTCCCTCTCTCGCTGTGTCTCTCTCTGTCAAATAAATAAATAAAATCTTTATTAAAAAAAAGATGACAGCTGACAGCGTTCCCTGGGAGTCCCAGGAACCACGTCAACACTTGCCGGAAGCAGCCCGTGGGGGATAAACACGGGGAGGTACCTTCCTCAGGTGTGGGGGAGCCTTGCCGAGCCTCCCGGAGAGGTGAGTAAATGCTCAGAAATTTTGTTTCAGTGAATGGGTCAGGCTGCCTGAGGCCACGCAGACACAGGTCCCGGCAAGCAGCGGGGCCAGGCCCAGCTCCAAGGCCACGCAGACACAGGTCCCGGCAAGCAGCGGGGCCAGGCCCAGCTCCAAGGTCCTGGGTGCGTTTGGAGCCCGGAGAGCACCAGCCAGAGTCCCAGGGCCGAGGGTCACTGGGGCCAGCCTGTGTCACAAGGCCCCACCTTCACCAGGTTCATTCTGGGGAGTTCTGTGGATGGACAAATGGCAGCCACGGCCGTTGATCCTCCTTCCCATGCAGTTATGTGGGGCCAGGAGAACTTTGTCCAAAGGTTATCCTGCAGGTAAGCATGGTGACCTACCCCCATTAGTCAGACGGACTCAGGGGGCTTGAAAAGTGTACAAGGTGCCTCGTGGACTTGTCTTTATCTGAGTGAGTCAAGCAAGAGGAGGCCTGGAGACCGCCGAGAACAAGTCCAAGGTTTCTTCCAGCTGCGTGAGCCGCTGACCCCATCTCGACAGTGACCTCCCAGGAGGAACCCTCCGTGACCAGGAGACTTCTTGCCTCCCCCGCCAATGACAGCACGGAGGCCCCTGGGACACTTGTCCTCTCAGGGGATGCACTTTGGAAGCTAGAGTTACGAGGCTGGGGAGTGAGTCCACTCCTGTGTATCTAACTCCCCACCCCGTTGCGTGTGATTTCCTTACACCCCTGGGTGGGGTGGGGAGTCAGACGCTGATGGGAAGCACCTGTTAACTTCTCCCCCAGCCGCTGGCAGTTTGGAGAAGGCCCTGCCCGGGTCCCACTCCTGCAAACCAAACTGAAGGACATTCATTTCCTCCTCTTGCCAGTAAAAACCTCGTTTTTCTTGGCGTAAGAAGGGAGAGCAAAGGACATGGACCAGAGCCGCTCCAGGAAGTGCTCAGCCCCGGTGGGCTGGGCAGAGGGCTGTGGGTCTTGCCGCCCTCCCCTGGCTCTGATGGAACGCTGTTCTTCTCTGGTCTCCATTTTCTCACCTGTCAAGCAGGGGTTACGGCCAACACTGACTTTGGCGTTGCTGAGGAGTAAGTGAGAGAGCCGTGAACCCCCACCTAGGGCCCCGATGGTCCCCACGTCAGCAGTTAGGGTGGGCTAGCTGGCGTCTGTGAGCTCACGGGCCTCCGCTGGGCCTCTGCCCTTCGCCCTCTCCAGTTAACACCTGCTCAAACAGCCTCCAATCACAGCCTTTTCCATTCCAACTTCAAACTGCTGCGCCCCTGGAACCGGTCTCCACGGGGACACGGAGGACGGAGGACGTACAAGGATTCCAGTTCTTTCTTCCTCTGGCCACTGCCGGCACGCTGCTCCATCCCCATTCCTCTCCTCCTTCCACAGGGGTCTTTCTGGTCGTGTCTGCTCCCTTGACAACCTTCTAACCTTGAGCACCAGATAGGTGCAGGGCACTCAAAAGGCGCCGGGGCTCAGGGCGCAGCTCCCCCCCAGCTCTTCCCCTCACGAGTGGGAGGCAGTGTGACACATGCCTGGAGGGGACTGAACCCGAGGAGGTGCCACTGCTCCTGGGGGATCGAGGCAGGGTTCAACGTGGCGGGCAGATGAAGAAGGGTCCAGGGGAGTTGGTACGAATAGGAGTTCATAAGCCCAGGGGGCAGAGAGGCAGCGGACCGCTGGAGTCGTGGAGACAAGGAAGGACAGGATGTGCTCTGGAAGGATGCCGAGAAGATCGGTGTGGCCAATCCAGAAGATTTAAGGGGCGGCGGGGAAGGGGGCAGGTAGCCCTGGGGAGGCTGGGTGAGGATGGGAGGGAGACAGGGACTCACTGGGTTAGGAGCCAGGGCTCTGGTCAGGTACCCTCAGGGCAAGTCCAGCCCACACCACTTCCTAATTTGGCAGACTTGGCTCCCTGTTCTGTGAAATGGAAATCATAGTGTGTGCCCCCCTCACTGAGGATTAAATGAAACAGCAACAGGGAGCCTGGGCAGCGGTGTGGCCCACGGTGGCTGGCTGGCCG